CAACTGCATAGCTCATTGATTAGGAGGCTGTGCTCTATCTATGAATAAGCCAAGTTCTTATTAAACCCAAATCATGACCAAAGTAACCAAAAATTTAAAACTTAAAAAACCATCCCCACCACCTAAATGTTTTAATATATCTTTTACAAATATTCGCGGTCTACAAAGCAACTTTCCTTCAGTTGAGTCTTACCTCCTGCAAAATTCACCAGACTTGCTTGCACTCAGTGAAACAAATTTAAATTCTGCAATTCCTTCTTCAGATGTCAGTGTTGATGGGTACTATCCTTTGATTCGTAAAGACTCCAATAGTCACATGCTAGGTTTAGGGGTATACATACGCATTAATTCCCCTATTTGTCGTGAAATCAGGTTCGAATCCTTTGACCATTCTTTTATGTGCTTTCACCTAGCACCTCTTCACTCTATCACCTCTTCTCTTTGTTCTTTATCGTTCTCCTTCTTCCCATGATTGCACTCTTTTAGATGTTATCTCTGATCAAATTGACCATGCCCTCTCACTTTACCCCTCTGCCAATATTGCTGTTGTTGGTGATTTTAATGTCCATCCCACTGAATGGCTTGGCTCTAACACCACTGATCCTGCTGGCACTAAAGCCTTTAACTTCTGCGTTTCTCAATCTCTTACTCAGATAGTTAACTTTGTGACTCGTTTTCCTGACAACCCTAATCATTTACCTTCACTCCTTGACTTATGTCTTGTCTCTGACCCTAGCTTATGTTCAGTTTCTCCCTTTCCTCCCTTAGGTGATTCTAACCATGCAATGATCTCTATAAACCTTTCTTCTCAGACTTCTTTTTTGGGCTCACCTTACCATTGCACCACCTACTACTACCCTAAAGCTGACTGGGATTCTTTTCATGATTTTCTTCGTGATGGTCCTTGGGCTGATGTTTTTTCTCTCTCGGTTGACAAATGCGCCTCCTACGTAACCTCCTGGATTCAGGCTGGAATGGAAGCTTTTATTCCTTCTCGTCGGTTCCAAGTCAAGCCTCATTCTACTCCATGGTTTTCTCCTTCTTGTGCGGCTGCTATATCCAATCGTAATCATTTTTTTCATCTTTTTCAAAATAACAACTCTCTTGAGAACAAACAGCTATTTATTATTGCAAGAAATTGATGTAAAAAGGTGCTTTCTGATGTTAAACTCTCAGTTCATTAAATCTCGTATCTTATCACAAAAGTTAGGCACTAAAGACTGTTGGAAAATCTTCAACAGGATTATTAACAAGGGTAGATCTAACATTCTATCTCTCATTCATGGGACTGATCTTATTACCTCTCCCAAGGATAAGGCAGAACTATTTGCAAAGAACTTTTCTTCTAATTCCACTCTTGAATCTTATGGACATTCTCTTCCTTCCATTCCAGTCAAACAGGTTGACCCATTGTTAGACATTCAAATCACTCCGGCTTCTGTTGCTAAAGTCATATCTCAATTAAACTCGTCTACAGCTTGTGGTCCAGACAACATTCAAAGTTTGGCATGCTAGTTTTCTCCATAAGCTTGCTTCATATGGTGTTTCTGGGAAAGTTTTTGAGATTATCAAATCATTTCTTTCTAACCGGTTTATTAAAGTCATCCTTAAAGGCCAACACTCTTCTTTGTTTCCAGTAACTTCTGGGGTTCCCTAAGGTTCCATCCTGGGCCCTGTTTTGTTTCTTATCTACATAAACGATCTTCCTGACAACCTTTCATCTAAAGTAGCTCTTTTTGCTGATGACTCAACTTTATACTCCTGTCTTGACAAAAAGTCTTCTCTTTTCGATTGCCTAGAATAAGCAGCTGATCTTGAATCCAATCTCACTTCAGTAATAGATTGGGGTTCACAGTGGCTTGTGAATTTAAACTCTAACAAAACCCAGTTGTTTACTGCAAACAACTACCATAATATGGTCAACATTCCTATATTAATGAATGGCAATCCTCTTACTGAGTCCTTCTCTTTACATCTTCTTGGATTATCGCTTACTACTGACCTTTCATGGAAACCATATATACAATTGATTGCTAAATTAGCTTCTGCTAAGGTTGCTTCTCTTTATCGTGCTCGCCATTTCCTTACTTCTGATTCCATTCTCTACCTCTAAAAATCTCTTATTCGTCCCTGTATGGAATACTGTTGTCATATTTGGGCTGGTTCTTCTAACGATTCACTTTCTCTTCTTGACAAGGTCGAAAAACGCATTGTAAATGTTGTTGGACCTGGACTATCTGCTAAGCTTGAGCCTCTTTCCCATTGATGTAAAGTTGCATCTCTTTCTCTTTTCTACAAATACTATCATGGTCACTGCTCAAAGAAGTTATCATCTCTAGTTCCATCAACTAAATATCATTCTCATTTTACTCGTCATTCAGCTAAGTCTCATTTGTTTACTGTATATGTCCCTGCATGCTCTAAAAACTTTTATTCATCTAGTTTTTTTCCCCGCACTTCAATCCTTTGGAACTTTGTCCCATCTTCATGTTTTCCTGACTTATACAACCTTCAACTTTTCAAGTCTTCTGTCAACCGTTTCCTTGCTCTATAACTCTGTTCTTTTTTTCCCAGTAACTCCCAACTTAATAGTGGTTGCTTGCAGCCTTGTTGGGAGTGAATGCAAATAAAAAAAAAAAAAAAAAAGTATGGAGATATTATTGAATGGTAAAGCTAATATAAAACTTAAAAAAGAAGAGGTTAAATACCTTTTTGAAACAATGCATAATTCTGGACTTCAAAATTCGCTTTTTTACCATCTTATCGATAAAAAAAATTTGATCGAGTATAAATGTCTCAGAATAACTGGATTTACAAGAGAACAATTTATTGAAATATATGAATCACTTAATTCAATGAGAAATTGAATTCACTCAACATTGATTTTGTTCAAAAGAATCTAGGCTTGAATCACATCCAAAGAAATGTATTATTAAAAAAACAATAGCCTTATTGCTAAAGAGATTTTTCAAACAAGCGATGATCAATTGATATCAATACCAGATGAAACTTAATGCTATTGTGAAAAGAGTAGCAGTAATGTTTTTCAACATAAAACATACAGTGTCCAAAAAAAGAAATATTTAGTAAAGTCATTCATTGTATGTTCTTCTAACAGTTAACAACTTTGCAAGTAAATTGATCACACTTTGTAAAAAGATTCAATAGGCTTTCAAAATTATCAATAGTTTCCTCAAGCAATTATTAAGAACCTTGGATAAGTTTTGCAACATAAGCCTCATTTATATGCTAGATGATTACCAGATTGCTGCAGTCTTGATTATTAAATATTTTGGAAGATTACTCTCCGATAATGATAACAAAGTAGAAATCATTAGAACGACAAAAGAGAGCCTTAAAAAAGAGAAATTACTTGAAAAATTATTAAAACTAAAATAATACTAAATTGGAATCCCAAGATATTAAAGATTTTCCGGTACTTGATCAAAGCAGGTTGCTGATAGGTTCCTATCAGCTTATCAAACCTATATAACTATAGGTTTCTATCAGCCTAGGAAAAACTTGAGTTATATATTGGAGCATCTTAACAAAGGAAAATACAAGTTAAAACTTAATGGAACAATCCATTCAACCCAACATTCTAAGATAATAAACAAAGATGTCTGGTCTAGGTCAGTAAAATGACTAATTACATGGTATACATTAGGAATTTATCTAACATTAATTATCAATCCGGCATCAATTCTTGGTATTGTACCTGTAAAACAGGAATGTGTACTGTTGGTGTAGTCACATTGCAAGTGTTATTTTATTCCTTTCAAGCGATGAAAAAAGAATTAAAAAATTCAAAAGTGGAACTGGTTCGATGTTGTCTATTTATCCAAAGTTGGTTGTATTGGAGATGAGTGACGATGAGAATGAAGATGATGAACAAGTCTATGAAAACAAAAATTAAAAATAAAAAAATATGTTAAAAGGTAACAAATTAAAGCTTGGTCAAGTAAGTCAAAAATAGAAGAAAATAGTTTAAAACTCTGACAAGGAGAACACTTTTCCAGATGATTCCTTACAGAAAATGTCTTCACCGAAAAAGGTCAAAACTTTTTAATCACCTAATAAAAACAAAAACCTAGAATGATTCTTCTCAAAAGTATCTAAATGTACAACAAAATCTAATTCAACAGCTCTCCTTATTAATATCAATAGATTACAATAGATTATTATTATTATTTTCTCTTTGGATATCAGTTCAACTTGCACCAAACTTGATGAGTCTTTTGCAAAAGCAAAAGACTCATCAAGTTTTTGCCGCTAAAAAAATCTCTAATTGATATAATTCAGCTAATAGATAAAGATGAATGGGATGAAGCAAAAACTAATTGGGTAGTCGAAATCTGTAGGGCTTTACTAACTTTATGTATAGATGGAAGCTTTCTAATAGATTGTTTTGGATCTGAATATGAGTTTTCATAAAGTATTTAGTTCATTTACAATCTTATGAAGCAAATTATATTTAAAATGGAAACATTTTAAATATAATTTGCTTAACTGAAACTTGAATTTCTTTGAATAAATTTCAAAATAATTATATTTTAAGATTTCCAAGTTTTAAAAGAGTTTTGTTAAAAACAGAGACAAACTAATAAAAGTTAGTGGAGTTTTGATTTACAGAAAGGAAAACATTGTACATAATGTGAGGAATAATAAGTGGATTTCAGAAACTCAAATAACTTCTGAACAATATGCTCAATGTTTTCAGAAATTTTGAGGGATAAAAAAATTGCAACTAGTAAAACTTTGAACAATATTTTCAAGATCATCTTTCACATATAAATTGTTAAATTGTTTTATAAAGATTAATGATTTTAAAATGAATGAATGAACTTTAAACTTATCAGATGTAGGTTACCAGTCATTGGATAATGATACCCAGGCAGTAACCAATGTATACCTGTGTATTTGCTGACAGCCTTAGTAATAATATAAAACAATTTTCATTCAAGAAATTATTTCAAACTTAAAATTTAAAAAATAGTTACCAATATTCATGATGTTATCTTTGTCACCTTGAAAAAATAACCAATCAAAGAACAAAGAAAGTTTCATATTGGCTTGAGAAACTGGATTCTAAATCAGATTTTTAAATCAGCAATAATGTCTTTAAAACACTAATTCCTAAAAGTATCTTTTAAAAACAAAACCTGGCCTGCTGTATAAAGCCATCCAACAATTGCCCATCGAGGAATCACTTCAGAACCTAAAATTTCATTTGGTGGATGAATAACGCCACAAATAAAACGAACCAGATCCGGAAGAAGAGTTTGATTTTCAGAAGCGCTTAAATACTAAACAAAAAAAACATTTTTATACTTACAAAAACATGTATATTTTTATTGTTGAATAAAATTATTTTCTTGTTTTTGTTACACTTGTACTTTTCTTGTTACATTGTTCCGCTTTTGTTAGGCTTTTAAGCTTAATTATTAAGCTTTTCATTACTTTCAAGTTATCTAGTAAATTATTATTGAGAATTAAAAAAATATGTTTAAAACAACATAGATGTCTGCGTGACAGTCATGTTTATGGGTGATCCTGGGATAACTTATCATTGTTTTTTGCAAGTTAAATTGAATTAGGAAAAATGAGTCAGAAAAAATCAATCTTTTAGAGGTCAGCATTATGTCAGCAAAAAAAAAGTGATACAAAGGTCTTACCATAAAACATTGAAACAAGGTTAGCAATTTGCCTTGGTTGTGTGCATGTTGTGGACCTCAAACACTTTGAGGTTAGCAGTTTGGTTGGTATTACCAAATGTTAAAAACCTAAATCCAAGGGCTGAATATATATTTAAAAATACTATTGTGGACTTAGGCCTGTATAGTATTAATATATTCTGCAAATTTGAATTTTTGTTATTTCATCTGTTAGGCTGACGCAGATGCATTTTTAATACATTGTTTCCTGTTTAGGATGTTTAATACTGGATCTTCTTGACTGGATACATAGATTTTGCTTGTGTCTCTGTTTTTATGACTAGGCAACTCATTCTACTATCTCCTAATGAGGGTACAGCTCTAAAACTCAGTCTTATGGTTCTGAGACGGGATGGTGGTCAGGTTTACCGAACTCTGTGGTAGCTCTCAAAGAGGCTGACTCCATTAACAGCTGAAAAATATCAAAGTATTAACAGTGCCATGCTGCATATGGATGATGTCCCTGTTTATACTTTTGGTGAGCATTGCCAAGGCCATATTGGACGCCTTTGTTACGGCTTAGGGTTTATTAATAGCAATGAGGCAATTGGTTGGGCTATTAAACAGTGTACTGAGTACTATCTATGTTTTGAGTCAAATTCTTTAACAATTTAAAAATGAATAAAGTAAAAAAAAACTATAAAGCACAAAAAACCATAGTCATCACCAAGTTTGCTAAATCTATCATTCACTAATACTCGTGGTCTTCGAAGTAACTTTTCTTCTGTTGAGTCTTATCTCTTGCAAAGTTCACCAGATCTACTAGCTCTTTGTGAGACTAATTTGAAATCATCTGTCTCATCTTGTGATCTTAGTGTCGATGGTTATCTTCCTTTAATTTGTAAAGACTCCAATAGTCACATGCTTGGCCTGGGCATTTACATTCGTAAGAATTCACCCATTTGTCAGCAAACTAGGTTTGAATCTACAGATTACTCTTTTATGTGTTTTCGTTTAGCACCACTTCACTCTATCACCTTTCTCTTTGTTCTATATTGCTCTCCTTCATCTCAAGACTGCACTCTTCTTGATATTATTTCTGATCATATTGACCAAGCCCTCTCTCTTTATCCTTCAGCCAATATTGTTGTTGGTGGTGACTTTAATGCTCATCACACTGAATGGCTTGGCTCTAGTGTCAGTGACTCTGCAGGCTTTTGCCTTTCTCAATACCTAACTCAAATAGTCAACTTTCCCACTCGTTTTCCAGACAACCCGAATCATTTACCTTCTCTACTCGACTTATGTCTTGTTTCTGATCCTAGTCAGTGCTCAGTTTCTCCACATTCACCCTTAGGTGATTCTGATCACGATTCGATCTCTCTAAAACTATTATCTCATTCTTTTTCATCATCAGAATCCCCCTAACATCATACATCTTACAACTTCCTTAAAGCTGACTGGGACTCTTTCCGTGATTTTCTTCGTGATGGCCCTTGGGTAGAAATCTTTCATCTTCCTGTCAACAAATGTGCTTCTTACATAACTTTGTGGATTCAGGCTGGTATGGAATCCTTTATTCCCTCTTGACGATTCCTGTTCAAACCTCACTCTTCTCCATGGTTTTCCTCACATTGTGCTGCTGCAATTGTCAATTGAAACCATTATTTCCATATCTATCAGCAAAACAATTCTCCAGAAAACAGGCATCTGTTTATTACTACTAGAAACCATTGTAAAAAGGTTTTGTCTAATGCCAAAACCCTCTATTCTCAGGTCATGAAATCACAAAAATTAGGCTCTCATGACCTCTGGAGGATCCTTAATAGTATCAATAATAATGGCAAGTCTGTAATTCCACCTCTTTTGTACGGTTCAGAACTTGTCACCTCACCAAAAGATAAAGCTGAACTATTTGCTAAGAACTTTTCATCAATATCATCTTTTGATTCCACTAGTTGTGTTCTACCTAATATAGCCGTCAAACAGATTGATCCATTGCTTAACATTCGTATCATTTAAGCTTCTTGTATCTTAAGTGATTTCCTGCTTAGACTCTTCTACAGCTTGTGGCCTGAACAACATAACTGTTATAGTCTTGCAGAGGTGTTCTCTGGAGCTGTCCTCTATCCTTTTAAAACTATTCAACAAGTGCTTATCAGAGTCTTGTTTTCCAGCCTGCTGGAAAGCAGTATCTGTTATCCCTATTTTTAAAAATTCTGGACAGCAATTCGATTCATCTAACTACTGCCCCATTAGTCTACTTCCTATCATAAGCAAGGTTTTTGAATCTTTAATTTACAAACACTTAATCTCTCATCTTGAATCTAATAACTTAACTCTTCTCGTTCTATGGCTGATTTGCTAACAGTAATAACCAATAGGTTTTATCATGCATTAGATAAAGGTTGAGAGGTTAAGGCTCTTGACTCTTGACATTTCTAAAGCATTTGATAAAGTTTGGCATGCTGGTCTTCCCCATAAGCTTTCTTCTCACAGTGTATCTGAAAACATCTTTAAGATTAATGAATCCTTCCTTTTCAATCGTAGAATAAAAGTTGTCCTTGATGGACAGCACTCTTCTTCTTATTCTGTAACCTCAGTGGTTCCTCAAGGCTCAATCCTTGGCCCTATACTCTTTAATTTACATAAATGATCTTCCAGATATTCTCACATCTAAGGTGTCATTGTTCGCTCATAATACTACCATTTATTCTTGTCATGATAAGAAGCCAACTCTCAAATCTTTAGAATACAGTTCCTTCACTTGCTTTCCTAATTCATATAATTTGCAATCTTTTAAGTCGTCTGTCAACCGTTATCTTGCTCTAAATTCTTTATCTTTTCTTTTCCAGTAACTTCCAACTCTAATTAGTGATTGCTTGCAGCCTTGTTGGAAGCAAAGATGTATTAAACAAACAAACAAACAAAAAAATGTGCACTAGAATCTGAACAAACAACAAAAAGATTAATTAAGCAAAATTAACTAATCTCCAAGGTACACATACCTACGAGGTACAATACTCTTCCCTATATTTGTGTGTGTATATATATATAAAAAAAATTAGTTCAATATCTTCTTTAGTTTTTATTTTATGGTAGATTAAATATGCTTGAAGCATATTTAATATATATATATATATATATATATATATATATATATATATATATATATATATATATATTTGCTTCATAAATTGATACACCACAGCTTAATCCAGTCAGTAATGGCTGTACGTATACTGTCAGTACTTGTAGTAAAGCCCTTAACTTGTCTTTACTAGCCTACACTAAAAGAATTTTTAAATTACATAAACCTGAATTTAAAAAAAGAAAAATCACATACAAGGCTCAAATTTAGTATATCGCGAACCACGATTGGTTTTCACATCTTAGCGATTATTTTTTTTTTTTTTTTAATGTTTTCGCAATTTGTTTTTTTTTTCTTTCTAATTTATCTTTTTTTTTTACCATTTTAAAAGAAATGTTTTTATTTAAAAGTTTTCAATAGGTGTCATAAAGTATGTCAGGCTAAATTTAGCTTTTGAATAAAAGTATGATCACTTACTCTCTTGCACGTAGATTTTCATTCAATATAAAGCGCTTTTGAATTTAAATTACTTTAAGTCTCTGCGTAGAAACCCTACTTTAAGTCTCTGCGTAGAAACCAATAAATTTTTTAGTTATATTTAGTTTGAATTACTTAATAGATACATCACAGTAAATTTACCTATAAACTAAATCAAAGCAACCATTTAAGCAGTTATGTAAATCAACTAATTAATTTACTTGATATACTCAAAGACTTGCAAAAGTTATCCATACAAATGTTTCTACTTATATTTTATATGTTGTTATATTTATATTTTGTATGTTGTTCTATTTATATCTTATTTGTTGTTATATTTATATCTCATATGTTGTTAACACATAATAAGCTCTAACCTAAAAATTATTTTAACAACAAATCTTGGATAGAATATAAAAAACGCAATTTTTATGCCCAATAATTATAAATCAATTTGCAGCAACATTCGTAATACCCAGTGGCATAGCAAGGAGCATTCCTGAAAGTTAAACACAGATCTAGCTACATTATCAATATCAGATTTAGAACATAGTGCAAGTAAAGAAAGTTTTGTTTAAATCGTAAACATTTTTAATAGTTAATTATTTTTTGTTTCGTGAAAATAATTTCAAAAGTAGACACTTGTTATTCCAAACATTAAACCAGTGTTTATTGCAAACATTAGGCACAAAATTAAATTAAAAAATATATATTTTAATTCTGTTCAAAAAAATTTTTTTCCAAAAAAATAATTTAAGCATTTACATAAAGAAATATAATTCAACATATTAAACCAAGTTTTTTTCTCTCACTTTTTATTAGAAACAAATTGAACAAAATAGAATGAAAAAGTCAACTTGAAAACTATTTCAATAAGAAAATTAATTATACACAAATTTTTAATTATGCTAATTAAATTTTTATATAGATATAGTATATGTTTTTGCGCAAATATGAAGTTTAAAGTTTTATGATGATAATGTATTTTTTTTTCTAAATCAATATAAAGAACTTGTGTACAAGGTCTTTATATTGTGACAACAACTTTGCAGTAATATTTTTTAGCTGTTTTACAATATCAATTCAATACCCTTTAAAAAATAACACATGTTTTATTGCCAGCATATAATAAAGTGATTAAAGTGGTTTAAATATTGTAATATTTACTTTTTTACTTTTACTTTTTTTAAGTATCATGTTACGTAAAAACATTATTTATATTTTAAAATTTTATTGTTTTAAATAAATCTATTAAATCATTTTTAAAAAATTTCTAAGCTGGAAATAATGGAGTGTTTTTTGTTTTGAAATCAAAATTTTCACTCTAGTTTTTATCAGCTAGTGGATTTTTATGTTTTAAATTCTAAGAAAAATTGGCTTTAAAAAATTACTTTAAGTAATATCATAATAGTAATAAATAAGTTACTTGCTCATTACATTATAACTTGCTCATTCCACTATAACAGCAACATAAACTTCAAACTATAACAGTAACTTACGTTATTTTAAACTCCGCCAAACAAGAAAATTATAAGATAATATTTAAATATGAGAGATATTATGTTAAAAAATATTATCTATTTTATACTAACAACACCCCCCCCACCCTTTACCGTGAAGCAGGGCCGGGGAAGGGGGTCAAAAAAAAACATTTTTTTTTTTGCAATAAGATTTTTTTTCGTTAATTCGAGCTCTAACATAAAAATATTTAAGAAACAATTAAAATTTTTTATATCGACCTTCTTTATGGTTGCTTTCACCAAGGCTAAAGAAAGACATGTGCCCTACTTTATAAATAAATTGAGTTTCTTTAAATTAATATTATTTAAAGATTACAAAACTGCTTTTCTCAGAAACTCAGGTAAAAAAAATTTTATATAAGAAAAATATTTTCTATTCTAAAAAATAAATATTTTTTAATTCTAAAAAATAAATATTTTTCAATTCTAAGAAACAAATGCTTTTCTATTCTAATTTTTTTTTCTAAAAAATAACTTTCGAAATAAAAATTATGAATGATAAAATAATAAACATAATAAATATGAAAATAAATAATAATAATAATATAAATAAATATAATATTATTAACCAAATGCTTCTTTTCAAAACTAATTATTTACTCATAATGATATAAAATATACACAACCTGCTTAAAAAACCAATCTTGGTAACGCTTTTGTTGACCAAACTTAACTTTTAAAGCCAGAAATGCAATTTTATTTTCCATATCAGGTGTTATTCTACTTTGTAAGAACTTTCTATGAGTACGTGTCATTAAAAGCTGTTCTAATCCTATAAAGAGAAATTTTATTATTTATTAAAATTACTGCATATAACCCAGTAGACAAAAGACGTGTTTAACATGTTGAAAGTATGTTTTAATACATTTTTTGATGTTTAAAATACTTCTTGTGATTACTGGGAATTTTTACCTATCCGTTGATTCTTGTCAGAAAATACTGTTAACTGTTAAACTTTGCTATACTTATCTTTCTCTTTCAACTCGTTTCTCCGCGCAGCGGCCTTGTTCGTCAAGGTTCGTGTTTCGGAGTTATAGAGTTGAGAGAGGGTTATAGCCGCAAAATAAGTAGCCTCCTTGTCTGTAGTGGCCTTTTCGGCCTTGAGGAGGTGAAGTAAAATTTAAAAAAAAAAAAAAAAAAATGGTAATTTTACAAAAAATTATTCATATTTAAAAGATTATATGAGGCTGAGATCAAAAGGGGAAAACCAACAAATCTTTTTCGAAAACCAACAAATCTTTCGAAATCTATTTCTTGTTTTTTTTTTGTTGGTATATTATTGATCATTTATGTATTAAATTTGCATTATGGTGAAATTACTAATAATTTATTTGTTAGTGTTGCTTTTGTATTTTTTCTTACATAATCTAATAATTTTCAGAATTAAAGTGTCATCATAAAAAATCACCATGCGTCATCATAAAAATCACCATTACACCATGTATCATAATTAAAAGTAAATACTTTTCTTTCAAAAATAATTATGTAACATGCAATTTATTTTGATATGCAACAATGCTTACACTAAGGCTTCACACAAGTATTTAGTTTTATAAAAGAAAACTACATATTTTTAATATTATAAACATAAAATCAGAAAAAATTTTATACAAGTAATTTCAGAAAGAAATAGTTGTTTGAAGTATATTAAAAAAATTAATTAAGTTAAATTATTTGTTTGAGGAAAATACAAATCAATCAAAAGTATTGACAGTTAATTCATGATAATTGAAAAGATATTAAATTTAATGTGTAGAGGTTTCCAAGACAACTGCTTCAAACTACAATTTTCAAAAATAAGAAACTTAAAGTTATCAATGAGAAATACTGATTTGTAAATTTTAGAGTAATGCAAAATCTGATTTTGAAAAGAACCTTCAGATATAGAGACTATTATAAATCTCCTTTTTAATAGTAAGCAACTGTGGTCAGGGTCGGGTTTTGAAAAAAAAAATTCCAAAAAATTCTTTGAATTCTTTACAAAATATTATGCAATACCTAATTTTTTTTTTTTTTCCAAATATATGAAAAGTTCTTTGAAGGTTAAATATTTTGTACATACACGTGCAATACTGAGAAGTTTTATTATTGGAGCCAGAGTCGCAATTTTGTTTAGCAACTTCGACTCCAACTCCGCTAAAAATGTGGCAACTCCGACTCCACGACTTTGACTCCACAGCTCTGTATATATATATATATATATATATATATATATGTTACATATATATATATATATATATATATATATATATATATATATATATATATATATATATATATATATATATATATATATATACAACATATATGTATATATATGTTATATATATATATATATGTTACATATATATATATATGTATATATATGTGTATATATATACATAACCCCATATTTTACAAATATTGAGTTGTAAAAATCCTCATATTTGGCTGGGGTTAAGGCTGGGGCCTGGGTCACTTACTAGTTTTTATTTGAATACAAACAAAGGTATGGTATTTATCCAAGTCACGTAACAGAACCTGTAAAAGTTCAATTGCAATAGAACAAACAATAAAACTTTAAAAAATTCTCTAAAAATTATTACTAAACTATAAATTTACTTATACTTTTTGTTTTATTTTTACAAATTAATTTTTTAAAATTATTTTCTTTTCTATTTTTAGTTCAACAAAAAGTTTCGATAAATGTTATTTATTTTATCCAGAAAATATTTTATAACAATAAATTTTTCATTAAAAAAAAACTTTTAAAGGATGTTTATATCAGCGTTCCTAAATAATCAATACAAATTAGAAACTTAGTATGCTTGTGATCCCCTTTTGTTCTCAACACATCATTTGTAAAGCTAACCAAACCTTGAAACTGAGTACAAAGTGATTGAGGCCGGTATAAAATATCTTTCCAAAGTTGCATAAACTCAGGAATACTAAAATGTAAATTAAAATTCACTTTAAATTGTAAAATTCTCCTAACTATAATAATTCATGATATGGTTGCATTTGAAAAGCAGTCAAAAATTGCAAATTTAATATTTAATTGTTTTAAAAAGTATATAAAATAATACCGAAATATATTTTGCAACAAACGAACAAAATCTTTCCCAATAGCCATACATTCAGCAAACTAAATATGAAAACAAACAAAAAATACAACAAAGTTCAAAATAACTTTTTTATTTAGAGTTAGAAAAACCTCAAAATGCAACAATAAATGTTACCCCTGGCAAAAATAAACGTATAAATTAAAATACACATGAAAATGAAACAATAAATGTATAAATTAAAATATGTAAACAAGTATGTAAAAAACTAAAGTTCAAATTACTTATGTTTTTAGTCAACTCATTAAAAAGGGAGTAAAAAAACTTAAGTTTACTGGCACAATATTTTAATATATTGTAACTTTAGAATGTTTATTAAGTTTTTTAAGTATGTAAGCTTGTAAGTGGGTAATTTATATATGTCAGAAAACGATCAAAATGTAACTTTCTATAAAAATTTATAAAATTATATATATGTTATATATATATATATATATATATATATATATATATATATATATATATATATATATATATATATATATATATATATATATATATATATATATATATATATATATATATATATATATATATACATATATATATATATATATATATACATATATATATATATATATATATATATATATATATATATATATATATATATATATATATGTATATATATATATATATGTATATATATATATATATATATATATATATATATATATATATATATATATATATAAATTTCTGATATAATACCAAATAAATATGAAAGAATAAAGAAATTTAATTTTAAATGTTGCTTTTATATTTTAACTTTTCTTAGTACCATTTAGTATTTGTTTTCTATCCCTCATTCTCACTAAACAGAGAAAAATGCGAGGACAGAAGTCAGAGCTGAACATAAAAATTTATACCAAATTTTTTTTTTTTTTCGAGTTAACTTGAGACTTAAAAAGACTTCACTGAGATTAAAATAAAAACCAAAAATAACTGAAATTGTAACCAGCAAAATAAATTTTATTCACCTACATGCTCACGAATGAGTTGAATACAAAAATCAATTTCTGCTTGTCGTAGGATTTTAAACCTGGCAGATTCATGATCTTCGATAATTCGAACAAATGTATAAATAACTACTTGCAGTGTTCCAAGATTTTTATCTAACCATGCTCTAAATATCATATATCATAACAAATATATATCATAGCAACAATAAAAATCATAATAACAACAAAAATCAATATCATATATCACAACAACAATAAATATCATATATCATAACAACAATAGGATACTTTCTTTTTATACAGAAACACATCTTATACAAAGAAAAACTATTATTAATACAAACTAAACATAAACTAAAAACATGAAAACTCGTGTTTAAAATTAAATTACCTGTTTGCTCTTAATAACTTTAAAACATTTTCTGTATAAGTTATGTTACCTTGACTTAAATCTCCACCTAAAAAAGATTACCATTTCACAATTATTATCACACTTCAATCATTAACACCCTTAATCTTTACATTTTTGTTACTATACTCTGATCATAAGCTTAGCACACATTAAAATAATTGGTGTGTACTGAAAAAAGAGACAAATCCGATTTTGTCTTAACTTATGTGTATATACAATACATTTAAATTGTTTTTAGGTGAACAGGAAAAAAAAATTAAAGGATGAACCTTAAACTACAAAATTTTTTTTCAAAAATTAAAATAAAGTTGTCAAAAAATTTTTTTTTTAAATATAATTAATTTATTTTGTTAAAGTTGTCAATTTTCACATTTGTTGTCACTTCCGACCTTTTTTAATTGATAAAAATCCATAATTTTATTAATTTAGTCAAATAGAGTACTTTATTTACAAATACTAAACTTTTTCAATTAAAAACTGGAAATTTTAACAAATTATTTAGTTATGCTATCAAGTATTTAAACCAGCATTTTGGTAAATATAGTTCAATGTGAGATTTTTTGGTAAATATGGGTTATTTTAAAATGGTTTAAAAATCTTGGACAAGCAATTAAGATTTTTAACTTCAACAGATTTGTAATCTACAAAGTTCTAAAAGGATCTGCAAATAAGTACTGGCAAATAGTGTTTTCATTAAACGAATAGTGAATAGCAAATAGTAATTCTTTAAACTTTGGTACCAAAGATTAATAATCATTTGTTAAGCAAGTAGAAACTATTCGATCAACAGTTTGTTGAACGATTTTAAAAGGGAATAGTACTACTAATGAAATTTGTTTAACAAATAGTAGTATTCGTTAAACAAATAGTTTTAAATTAATTTTTTTTTCAAACATTTAATATTTTTTTTTAATATGTTGAATAATTATTCAATATATTGAATATATTCAATAAATTGAAAAAAAAAATTTTCAATTTATAATTGAAATTCATGGCCTACTTTATTTATATGGCCGGATATTTTGCATTTTAAAGAAAAAAAATAGAAGGCCAGTTTTCTTGAAAAGTGTTTTTAAGAAAGCAGCTTTGTAAGTTCAAAAAGATGGTTAACAAATGTTGGGTTGTAAATTGTCATTCAAATTATCATAACTATGGTGAAGTATCTACAGTAGTATTTTTGTTTCCAAAAAATGAAGAGTTAAAAAAAAATTGGATTAAATTTGTAAATAGAAAAGATTGGACACCTACTGATTCTTCCGTTATATGCATCAAACGTTTTGAAAAAAAATATTATAAGAAAGGTAACAAGAATCAACGTTTTGGATTAATAAAAAAACTAAAGCCTATTCCAACTATTATTGACTGCACAAATTTGACTGAAGAAGGTTCATCACAACTTATAAAATCTTCTAATTCATCAAGAAAATCACCAACTAAAAGAATATTTTAGCCAGATCAATATGAACAGTTTTTATTGAATGATTTGATTAATAGCTTTGACGATATTACTGAAAGTTTTGCTCCAGATGGTTTTTCATTCTTAAAGTATGATCATGTAATTTTTTATAAATTGAGTCATAGTACTTTATTTATTCCAGAAGTTACAGAGTGCATTTGTGTAAACAATGCATGTTTAATTATTTTACTAAGGTTCACCTCTGCCATTGCCTCAGTGGTTTTGTCAAGGAAGAGATTGTCGTTTATCTTGTAAAAGTATGCTTCATAATTTTCCTACCTACATTAAATCACAAACCAAACAATTTTCATCTGTATTGACTGAATTACAACAAATTAAATATATGAAAACACCTATTTGTTCAGCCAATATTATAAGGTATTCACTGATATGATAAACTTCTATGCAGTCATACCCTCTTTTGTGTGAAAAATTGCCTTTACTACCATTATCATTACTAAAAAAATAACAAGCGGAAATTTTGATACTTTAAGTTGTGCAAAACGTTTAAAATTAGAAGGTATAATATCACAAGACATTTGGTTGATTTTTGATGAAATGTACTTGCAAAAATGTGAGGAATATTTTGCTAGAGAGATGATTGGTAGTGATGAGTCTGGAGAAATGTATAAGGGAATAGTTTGTTTTATGATAGTTGGCCTGAAACAAAACATTCCATATGTGATCAAAACGTCTCCTGAAAAAACAACCGATGCTGAATGATTGAAAGAAAAAATTTTTGAATGTCTTCGTATTTTAACTGAATGTGAATTTAATGTTAGAGTTTTTGTGTGTGACAACCATTCCGCTAATGTTTCTTATTTTAAAAAAATGTGCATGGAATCAACAAGCCGAAGATTTGTTTTTAAAGCACCAAAAATAACAATGAAAGTGTTACATCCTGGCAATTTTAAACAAAATGTTTCTTTAGCATTTGCAATTTTCGATGAAACTACATCTGCAGCAATTCACTCATATTTTCCTGATCTTAAAAGTAGTGCAGATTTTCTTACATTATTTAACAAGTGGTGGGTTTTATCAAATTCTGAATGTCAGTATTCAACATGTAATATTTTAGGTAATACAGTCGTTTCTGGTGATAAAAAACCTGAATTTCTTAGGGAAATGGCACATTGGATTGAAGTTTGGCAATCACAAAAGTTACCAAACTGTGAGAAGTTTACTTTAAGTGTTTAGACAGCTGCAGCACTAATAAGAACACTTAATAGTCATGCCTCATTGATCGAGGACTTGCTTAATGATGGATATCACTTTGTTTTAACTGCGAGATTTCAAAGTGACACTTTAGAAAGGAGATTTGATTATATAGACAAGTGAGCGGTGGAAGATTTTTGGTGGGTTTAAAAGATGTCACTATTTCTGAAAAAATATTAAAAATTAAAAGTATAGTTAAAAAAAGTATTAACTTTGATGATAGTTTAAAAGTGCCTCTTGAGTTAAAAAATAACTTAACAGACTTGAAAAACTTTCTTCTTGATATTGATAAAGCTCAGTGTACTCCAGAAATCATGACACTTGCACCAGAAAGTAGGTAAATAGGTGCTCATATTGCTGGTTATATAGCAAAGAAACTTGAAAAACGTATTGGTACATGTTGTAAAGAATTTTTATGTTGTGTCAAAGTTTTATCAAAACTGGGATAAAACTTGCTGGAAGAATTGTTGTCAATATTTTTCTTAATAATAAAAGAATTATCTTTACCAGCAAAGTAGCTGTCGATCATGTAAATTCTTTTAAAAAAAGAAAATTTGAAAAAATTTAATAAATTATACATAATATAATTATTTTATTTTTTAATGAAAAAAGAAAAACATTTTAATATTTTTATTAACTGTTCTTGTTTCTTACATTGTTTTTACTAATTCTAAATTTTAAAATAAAGACTCTTGATTTATTTATTTCTTAATAAATTTTCGTTTAATATCTAAAATTATGAATATAAACTACTTTTGTGACTTTTTAAATTTAGAAAGTAAAATAATTTTGAAAATGTTCAAAACGTATTAAGTTTTTGAAACATTACGATTTTAAAAACTGGCCTTCTATTTTTTTCTTCAAAATGCAAAATATCCCGCCGTATAAATAAAGTAGGCCATGTTGAAATTTTTTTTTTTGTTAATAATTATAATAATGAATAAGCAAGTGATTAATGTGTTACTTAAATATAGGGCTGTACCGGATTTTGGCTCCGGCTCCGGCCCAAATCCAGCCATTTTTACAAATCTGGCCCAAATCCGGCTCCGGCAAAATATCAGCAAATCCGGCATAATTTTGGCTGGATTTCTGAATTTTGGCTAGATATTTACAACATATTTTGTGCCCGTGTTTACATGTATACTTAATATTTATTTATACATAATGTTTTTTGTAATTCTAGATTCTATGAACTTTATGTTTGGTTTGGTATCTGTATTTGCATTTCTTTACAACTTAATTAGCTAAGACTAATTTCAAACAACAATGCAACAAAAATTATGAAGGGATGACACACAATATTCTGCAATGATGCAGGTGTAAAGACTATGAAGTCAACCCTAATCAAGTCATTGGATGAGCGTTTTAAAGGCATTGAGAAGAAACTTTTTTATATAGTGGTGACACTGGTTGATCCACAATTTCAAACTAAATTCTTCTCAATACAAGCAACACTGACTGGTGAAAAACCAAGATTAAAGTATATCTTAGCATGCTGAGCAGCAGATTGACAAAACTGAAGAAAATCCAGCAAAACAACCCAGCTGGATCATTCTTCTACACCATCATCATTATCCTGGCAATATATTGATGAAATTATTCAGTCTACGTCAGCTGGTGGCACAGCACATGAACAACAATTACCAACAGGCATTGACATTCAGCTAAGCCAATATCTGGATGAACCAAAAATAAATAGACAAGCTAATCCACTACAGTGGCAGAGTGACAACATCCCATAAAAAAAGTTCTATAGAAATTCTCTAAACTTTTGAAACATATGACCTATAGAAACTCTATAGAATTTATATAGAATGTCTATTAATTTCTATAGAAATTGCTATAAAACTTTTTTAATAACAACAATGAAGTTTAAGAGAAAACAGCTGTCATTTGGTATTCTGAATAGTCAATATGGTTGATCATTCTCAGCACCAAGTAGAGATGTTCAGGAATTTGTCTCCTATAGTTTTGTTTCGAAATCCAGCTCCGGCTCCAATTCCGGCCGGATCTGTTAATAGAAATCTGGCAAATCCGGCTCCGGCCAGATCTGGAAAAATTAAATCCGGTACAGCCCTACTTAAATAAAAGTATGATCAAAGGAGGGATACTTATTGACAAAAATTTTATGAGGAACTAACATCTGTTTAACGAACTTTTCATTTAATGAATAGTACTATTCATTAAACTTTTTGTTACGAAATCTATCAAACATTTGCTATAATTTTAATAATTGACGAAGTTTGTTTACATCGCCGGTGCTTATCGACGACAGTTTTGTTGATATTTTTATCATATGAGTTTCAGTATATGATGTAGATTTTTTTCTTTTAATTTATTTTTTTCTTTAAGTATTTTTTTCACTTACAATCAGCAAATTTTATTTATATGATTTTTTAATTTAAAAATATTTGTAATAAAATTAAAAATAAAATAGTATATTTAGTACTTAGATTTTATTAGCACGATTTTAATAGTTTTTAATAACTGTCTGGATTATTTAAAAATTAATGTCTTTTATATAATTGTTTGTTTTTAAAATTACTTATTGATCATATGATTTTTAAACAAATATACTTTCTATAGAATGGTATATTTTTATCATTATTACTATCTTTATATTTGATATTACTATATTAACATATATTTACTAACCAACAAAACATGGAGTTTACATTATATGTGTTCTTTTTATACCATTTATTTTTAATGTAAAATATAGCTAACTTACTGTTAAATAACATAATAAAGTATATTAGATAGATATAGATTTGATAGAAAATCAAGATGAAAACTGATGGATAGTGATTAAAATTATCAAAGCAATCTAGTGTGCTTTTAAAAAACAAAAATATTTGACATTTCTCATTTGATGTTGTATTTGGAAAGTGTATTAAATTAAAGTCTGTCTCTACGAATTGACAAAAACATGATTTGCAAAAAACATAGTATATATAAAACTTTATCAAGTCACAATTGTTGTCCATGTTGATTGATGATGCCTACTATTGTTGAAATGCGTATTTGAATCTGACATTAAAATAAACATTACAGTAAAATCTAAAGAAGACAATCCAGCTAATAGCCGAAAAAACTTATGAAATCAAAAATTTCAGTTGTTATTCGAAAAGGCAGGTTCATAAGGAGAAATAGGAAGCATCAAAAAGGTTTGTTATAAGAAAATAAATAAAATATCTTTTTTTGTAAACTCGTTTTAATTTAAAAAACCTAGTTTTTATTTGACATTACGAATTTCTTTAGTGGACTCCTGCTACTCTAAAAATATTTGAAAAAGCAAAAAATTACAAATATTGAATAAAATGAATTTTTTTTACCTGCAATTTGTCGAAGAAGAATATAAATCACAGGTTCTAAATTTAAAATATGATTTTTCATCATTTCACCAAGCAGCCACAACATCTAAATATATAAACTACTGATCGAATATTTTTAATCACTTTTCAATACAAGTAAAACTGATTATTACTACTTTAATTTTTCATAAATACTTTCAAATAATACAACATTTATTTTGCAGAACAGAAATATAGAAAGTTGTATCAACAATAAAAATAAAAAATTACTAAAATTTTTTTTAATAAAAGTGTTGAAATATTATTCCAATACTGTTGCAAGTATTCTTAAAGTTGTTCTTACTTAGTTAGCCCCATTTCCTGGACATTCCTGTCTAGTTAATAAAAAATTCTGTTATTGACTGTCAAATGTAAAATGACTGTCAATGACTGTTGGTGATTGTCAGTCATTTGTTTGCTAACTTTCTGATGCACATATTAAAGTTGTTTCACTGAGAAAACTTTAAATATTGATTTGTTTTAAATAAGACCCACACAATTTTTCTATATATCTTTATAGACAAAACTTTATATTTTTCTAGTCTGTTTTAATCTCTTTGACAACTTAAACTTTTAAACTATAATTTTGGAGACAGTGCACACTTGACACTAATATATATATATAAATATATATATATATATATATATATATATATATATATATATATATATATATATATATATATATATATATATATATATATATATATATATATATATATATATATATACAGCGTGGAGATTAAGAAATCAAAGGCGAGCGGTTAAATTGACCGGCTAATACATAAAACTGACGGTCAAATTTTTTTTTTGGGCGGTCAAATTTTTTTTTTTCTTTGTTAAAATTTTTATTTCAGTAATTATTCTTCATGACATGTAAATAAAATAAAGACTTGATTTAAAATTAACGAATGCCTGTTTCTTTTCAGACAGTTTTTTGTAACTTAAAAATATATTTGATTCATAATCTAAAGTTTCTTCGGAAGACGATTTTAAATCTAAGGTTTCGTCTGATGACGATTCCAAATCAACTAATGTTTTTATAGTTTTTTTATTTTCTTTTTTTGAATAAATTTTTGTGTTTTCTTGTGTAGGCCTTTGCAACGCATCTTCGGCCCATAACTCAATGGCAGGATTTACATCAAATTCATCACTGTTTGTTTCATCTGTGCATATCCAAATTAAATTATTTAGCCGTTTTTCAGTTAATCGATTTCTTATGTCAGATTTAATTCTATTCATAAAAGAAAAAAGACGCT